CCACCACCACCACCACCACCACCACAACCATCACCACCACCGCCGTCGTCCAAGTCGAAGTCCGAGTAGAATTAGCGGAAGTCGCAAAGCCGGAGACAGGGTCGCCGGTGATCGTCGAGGCAACGAGACGTCACGGCCGAAACTGGGGCGGGCCGCCTGAAATGACGGCCCTGCGACGATCCTTCGCAGCACCCGCTTACAAGACTTCCTTCGTCCTCCTATCCCTCGTTGGTTTGCTGCTACGGATAAACCCTACCACCGGTAAGTCCCCAATACACTTTTCACCGATTCTTCTCCTGTATCAATGAAATATTATTCATTTTGTCCTTTTTTTTCTTTTTTAATTATAGTTACGGTAGTATTTAGCGATAGGTATATATATGAACTATATATTACCTGTATATCTATATATGTATATGTACAAATTATTTTAAATTTGTAATATTTTTTATTTGTTGTTGTCCCACTCCCTCCCCCCACCCCTCATTTAAGGCAAACGATCATTGATAGAGAACAAGTTCGTTGCTAACGAGTTATTAGAGAATTTTCTGATTATTATTATTATTATTATTATTATTTTCTTCTTTTCGTATGTCAAACGTACGCGAAGAGAGTGGTTTTATGATGAGAAGACGGACGCGTCAAACGCGATAAAGTTTTTGTATATAAGATACGCGCGGTAAAAGGCATCGAAAGAGAGAGAGACGCCCGTCCTCTTCCCGATATTCTCCGACGGCATTGGGTAGCTTGTCTCTCTCTCTCTCTCTCTTTCTCTCTCTTTCTCTCTTTTTTCTCTCTTTTCTTCTACGACGCACACAACGCACAGTTTCATAAACTACGCTCTCGCTATAATCGCTCGATGAATGTCATCGCGCTGATTTGTTCGTGCTTATGTAAGAGAGAACCGTCGTCTCGTTTACGATGACATTGGAAATCTGTGCGTCATCGTTCTTTCTCTCTCTCTTTCTCTCTCTCTTTCTCTCTCTCTTTCTTGTCATCGAACAACCCTGCTTATGTACGTTTTCAAGGATTATGCATCACCTTCTTCTTCCTCTTTCTATCAAACTTTTTTCGAAGCCTATCTATTCTTTCGAAGAAGTTCCAAAGATCATCATTATCATCATTATCATCATCATCATCATCGTAACGGAGAAAGTCGAGTACAAGTACCTAAGCCAATCAATGTGTCGAGACATACTACTCGTCTAACATATTTGTTCAAGAGACGGTAAAATTACTGTCCAAACTATATTATTCCCAATATGATCACCGCGAGCTTCGAGCTCAATGGAATCGCTTAACCAACATGATATTTGATATCTCGCTAAAGATATCTCTCGATAGTGTTCGTTAATTATCATAGAATCAACTCACAATATTTTCGATGAAAATCTATAAACTTTGTTACATTTTTTTTATTTTTTTTTTTATTATTATTATTATTAACTAAAAAAGAAAACATCTATTTTACCTCAGTTGAATAAATTCTCTACTGAACATATTTTTCTCTCTCTCTCTCTCTCTCTCGTTGAAATCATAACGTAATTCGCGATAGATACAAATTATCTAAATATAATTTTAATAAATAAGAATATAAAAAAAAAACAACAAATTTTTCTTATATATTTATTTTGTAATATTAAAATGCTCACCATTATTCAAATCTACTATAGAGGAGAGTGTGAATAGTACAAAATGAAAACTCCCTTGTTATCATAATAATCGTTGATAGTTAACAGTAAAATTCTGCATGTCTGATGCACGACGAAAAAGGGTAAGAAACACGTTACGAAATTTCCCGGAGACGTTTATGAAGTTTTAGAGTCGGCTAATGTATGTATTTTCCATCTCTCTCACTTACTCTTACTCTTTCTCTTTGTTTCTCTCTTTCTCTCTCTCTCTCTCTCTCTCTCTGTCTCTCTCTCTCTCTCTGTCTCACTTTCTCGTGGCGCGATGTGTCGCGGTTTTCCCCTTCGGCGTTTGTCGGATGCCAGACGTGGAATTAGCGCTGAATTAATTCGCACTTTATCGTCTGAGTTGCGTCTGGGCTGCGTCTGGGTAGCGACTGAGCTGCGTTTATCGTTCATTCGAAGGCGAACAACGTTGCCAAAGACGGCAACGACGACACAACTAAGACGACGTAGATGATGACAATAACAACAACAGAACAACAACAACGACGACGAAGACGACAACGACGACAACGACAAGAGAACGATCGTTCGTTTTATATGCATCACTCTGCGTGAGCAAACCTCGACGTTGACGCGACTAATTTAATTGACACACCAGGGATAATCGAGGATACTCGTCCGACTAGATACTTTCCTTTTATATCGCAACGTTCAAGGCTGAATCCTCGTCACGATATCAAAAAAAGAATCGAAATTAAATATTTAACGTATATATACGAGAGAGAGAGAGAGAGAGAAAAAAAGATATACGAATTTATTATACATTATTCAATAATAATAATAATAATAATAATCCACCGAATTGTCGAAGAACGTGTATATTTGTTTTATCCTTTTTTGATTTCCTTCTATTCACGGGATCACCCACACTGGGTGTTGTTATTCGAACGATCACGACTAGAAACGAAGAAAAATTTCGACTTAGGAGAAGAGAAAAGACGGGACGAGAGGAGAACAGCGAAGGAGAAGACGCGAATGGTAGAATGAGAGGAAAAGGGAAAGGATAGGAAGAAGAAGAAGAAGAAGAAGAAGAAAAAGAAGAATAAGGAGAAGAAGAAGAAGAAGAAGAAGAAGGAAGAAGGAGGAAAGGAGCCGAAGAAGGAGAGGGGTGAGGGAGAAAGTCTGGTGTAATGGAGGAACCAGTTTGCGGGTCAGTGCTCCGCATCACCGAGAGGAGCTTCAGCCACCAGACGCGCGCGGACAATGCCACCGAGCGAAAGGACGACGTGGTCGTCGAGGGGGAGCCAAGCCTCCTGTCCGAGAGGGCAAGGAAGAAAGAGGGGAGCCGCAGAAGAGAAGAGAGCGCTCGAGCGAGCAGGAGGGCTCCTCGGATGGTCCCTCGAATGGCCCCTCGGATGGCCCCTTGGATGGCTCCTCAGATGGTCGTTTCGCGGAGGCCCTTGCAAAACCCTCCTAGGGCCGCACTTGGCTCGTGCACCTACGCTTTCGTGCATCATACTCCCGCTTGCTTACTTACTTACTTACTTACCTACCTACCTACCTACCTACCTACCTACCTACCTACCTATGTACCTACCTACCTACCTACCTACCTAAATAAAAGAAACAGAAAGAGAGGGAAACACACAACTGCGTCGCGTATACATACTTGTATAATACGTGTATCGGATTAACGCTTCGGCTTTGTCGCCCTTAGCGAAGTGCGAGTCACATTATAGCAAAAACAACCCGACGAGCATGGCCGAAGGCGCAGTCTGCGGTGATGGTGAGGTTGCGATAAAACACTCGAGTTATGCGCGCGCGTGCGGTTGGTTTCATATTCCAACAACGAGAGTGACTATTCGAAGAGACCGGTACGATAAAACCAATGCCGTCGTTGTACGCGCATTGCCATATGCCCGAGGAAATAACTCCAACGAGTATGCTTCTCGAGTATCCGTTGAATAAATTTTATACGTCCACCGTAAGAGGACCGTCAATGAGTATATGATTTACAGCGTAACGCGGTAGGGTTTGTGTGTTAAATTTGCACCTTTGATATAAGAATATTCTTTTTCCAATATTTATTTTTTTTTTTTTATTTATATTTCGTTCGTTTGCTCCTTCTCGTCGTTTCATTTCACGTAATAAACACTTACGAGCTTAGATAATCACGGGCCGCGCGAACGGGGCGTGATTTTTTTTTCTTGTTTTTTTTCATTAGATCAAAGAAAGAAAAGAACAACTGGGTGGTACTACGTAACTCAATGTAGTAGAGCCTCTTGTCACGGATGTGTCCTTCAGCGTCACGGGGTATTGATTATTTAGATGATTTCTTTTTCTATCCACTTTTACCGTGCGCGCGCGTGTCCTACGTTTCGGATCACTGATCAATGTAATTCGTTACAATGCAAATACGTTGTAACCCACCGAGGAGTACGCATGCATCGTGCTAACGTGTAGGCGTGTTAGAATGTACGAAGTAAACGAGCTCCGACATAAGTAAACCGTTCATTCATTCGAACAAAAATCAGCACAATGAGTGGCGAAATATAATCAAGTATTATTATACGTATACCTTAAATACATATACATATATATATATATATTGTCTATCTTATTAAATGACAGATATATTATCTCGAGTTTTGTTATTTTCAATCATCTTGAGAAAATAATCACTCGTTCTAATTATTATTCACACTTTAATTCCCATCGTTTCTAATTGAAATTTCATTTCAATATTATTTCAATATAATGATAATCTTCGATTGAAATCGATAACCATTGGGATTGAAAAATAATCGACCGACGAGTCACAAAGAGAGTCGACAAGTCGTTCATGATTTGAAACAGTGTCTTATAAGTCCTTTGGTGTGCGGTATATAACAGAAAGAAAGAGAAAGAGAGAGAGAGAAAGAGAAGGAGAAAGAGAGTGAGAAACAGTTCGACCACCTCGGAAACCATCCGCGTATACTCGAGCAACAAGTTTGGTCGATGGAAACAGAATAACCCTCCCAGTACCCAGTGGACTTTCTAAGGTTACTCGATCGCGAGTCGAGAGACAACCGACAGCAACAGCAACAGCGGCAAAGAGACAACAAGGAGGGTAAAGAGAACGAAGAAGAAGAAGAAGAAGACGACGACGACGACGACGACGAAGGGGATCGGCTTCGAGACGACGAGACAGAAATGAGAGAGAAAGAGAAAGAGAGAACATGAAGAAGAAGTAGAAGAAGAAGAAGAAGAAGAAGAAGAATAAAAGAAAAAAACAAAAGAAGAAGAAGAAGAAGGAGTGGGAGATAAAAGTGGAGGGAAATACAACGAGTGTGAGAAAGAGAGAAGCTTGTGGTTTTGGTCAACCGGTCGGGTCGCCGTCCACGGGGACAATCTCCGGGCCTTGATGACTAACCGCGTGGTTGTCGTCTTGTACCGGCAAGAAACTTGCCTCCCTCTTGTGGCACGTCGCGAATGCCTCCTCCAACCTGGAGATGCTCCCCTTCGAACGAGTACCGATCTTTTTACCACCTGCTGTCGAGCCATCGACAACCAACGCATCCTACACCCTCTTCTTCTCTTTTACCTTTCGAATCTTTCCTTCTCTCTCTCTCTCTCTATCTAACGATA